GGGCCCATAACCTGAAATACTGAATTGAATAAATCACATAAAAAATTTTAGTTATAATTTTTGTAATGTATTGCTACATTTGAATCGTTAATTATGTGAAATATTGGAACAAAATTTTAGCAGAACACTTATAACATATAACAGTTAGTTAAAAATGATTTACCAAATAATCCATAAATCTCTTTTTCAGTGTCGTCAATTTTTAATATGATAAAATAAAGGAATATTATAGAATATAGATTAGAATTATATCAGTACACATTTATATGGATTATTTTGCATAGTTACCTTACCCAATTGTCATATATGGTAGTAATACTATATAAATACATATACCACAAACATAAAAAACAATATAATACACAAATCTAAAGCAAATTAATCACACAACAATAATAGCAAATCATGCTATATTTCAGGAAAGCTATTTCTTTTGAATAATCTTTGATCAATTTTGACTTTTTTTAATAATTATGTGATATGTAGAACTATATTTATATATGTAAAAAATATTTAATAAAAATTTTATATTAAACAAATGTATTAAAGTTGCAAATACCAAAAAGTACTAAATATACTCAAGTAATATATTCAAAATTACAATGCAAGTATTCTAAAATGTAATAAGAAAATACTTTTAATTTAATGTAAAAAAATATATTACAATTACTTACATTTGAACTATTTGAATCATCCATTATGTGTGAATCAGATTGCGTTGCTACATTGTGGAAATCTGTACAAGGTTTGGAATCAGGATGAGGACTAGTAGATATTAGTGTGCTTGTCCGTTTGTCTGTAACGTTCATATTTTCATTTTGTTCAGTATTTTGTTTAATAGGAAGATTATTCTGATAAGCTATGTTATTTAGTGTAGTTTGGACATGATCAATGTTGACATCTAAAGATTTACTAATTTGATTTTCTTGTTCACAATGCTGAACAAGTTGTTTATTATTTACATTATCAAACATTTGATAATAATTACAATGATGATCAATATAAGATTCATTATGTTGATGTTTTATTTCTTTCGAAAGCAATTTGTTATCACTAGAAGAATGTTGATAGTTATATTTGTACTCAATATGCTGATGTTGGTTTGTTTCTTCTGATAGTAATCTATTACAAGTACTTTGAGGAATATATTGATTGTCAGTAGGTTGATATTGAGATTCATTAAAATGATAATATTGCACATTGTGTAGAGGATTACATTGTTCTATATTATCTTGAACTTTCCAATGTTCAGATTCTGCATTTGAAGTGGCTATATCATTGGAATGAGAAAAATATTGTTGCTTAGTTTCATTAATTAACTGGTTAGATTCTAATTGATTATGATGATGTAAAATATATAAAGGAGATATATTTTCACTATATTGTTGATTATGATAGGATTTTCTGTTATATTCTAGTGATGACTGAGTCTGATGCACAGAGTTTAAGCTTTCATTTAATACAGATATAGGCGAAGAACTGTTGACTGTTGAATAATACTGTTCTCTTTCATTATTTTCTGATTTATAGATATCTGAATCATTTGATACATAATAATTTTCCCATGGATCTTGAAATTCTGAAAAATCTGGTTGTTCTAAATGTATATCATTCTGTGTCTTGTTTTGTATGTCCATGTAAATGGGAGTTTTTGGAACAAAGGATTCAAAAGACATAGGAGGAAATTCGTGCCAAATTGGTGCCAATGTGCTGGTAGCCTATGCAAGCATCATGCCAAAACAGAAAAATGCACATTCAATTGGTTAGTAGAAAACTAATTTAACAGTGTCCATTTTTCTTCTACTTAATATTATAATAAAAACATTATGTTAGGTTTAAATATATATTTATAGATTAAAAATAGATTAAAAATAATTTACATTTTAGTACTAATAACTACAACAGACATTAAATAGTACTGTACAATATAAGAAGATATTAAATATTACATGATAAGATATTATAAACGTAATAACAGGGGAGAAAAAATGGACACTGATCTACCAAAAAAATATTATGAAAAAAAATAAAGTTAAAATATATTAATAGTAGAAATATTTATAAAATTTATAAACTTTAATAAAAAAATTTTACAAGTTCTTTACTAAATTTATATAGCTATTAATATTATTATTTAAAACTAATATTATTATTAAAAAAAAAATTAAAAAATTACAAATATATTTTAAATGTAACAAAAAGCAAATATCACTCTTAATTAAAAGCAATATATAATAATATATTTGCAATAAAAATTTTATACAATTAAATAATTTATAATGGAACAGCTCCTAGAATCAATAACTAAATATCTACTTTTAATTTAAGATAATAACATGCATATCCAATTTTATAAAAAAAAATCTTTGACCAAAGAATTAATAAAGATTCTTTCAAAGATTTTTTTAAAGTATTCTGATTATTAATAATTTTTATACACATTATTTGTTATGTGTAATATGTACAATTTTAGCTACATTTTATCAAGCATGTTTATATATAATAATGCGTGATTGTGCTTTTGAAATATTATCTATATTATGCCTAAATTCACAACATGGTTGATATACTTTTGTAAGAATAATAAAAGCATATTGTTTAAATCTTACCTGCTTTATTAATATTTAAGGCTATAGTGAGATTCAGAAAAAATCCAAAAATGTAATAGTTACAAGTTATATATTAAACTTATTAATATTTTAATTAAAAAAAAAAAAAGTCAAACTTACCATAACAGGTGACAACTGAGGATGTACTTCTTCACAAAATATGTTCCACCATAATTGTAATAATGGTTGTAAATGTGCAGAACCCATTGGTGGCTGAACAATACCAGTCAAAGTATCAAAATACTGTAACCACGGTTTTGTAATACCAATAAAATGTATTATTCTAACATCATCCCCAAATCTATTAAAGAACGATATTTATAGTTACTTGATCTTATTTATGTATGTATTGTTCATATGAAATGTTACATTTCATATATGTATACATATATGTAAAAACGAAAATATGTAAAAGAAATATAATAAAAATAAATATATATTCTTACTGTTTGAATGCAGGAAGATAGGAATATGTAGCGGTAGAGCACATATTATAGATAAATGGTAAATGTTTGGAAATGTCTTTTCTAGCCCAATCACTGAAATACATATTCAATAATCCTTGATCTCCACCATCAAACGAACCTTTAGCAGCAGCAAATGCGGTAATAGAAGCAAAAGTTTGTTGAGATGGCCTGTATACAAATACACCAGAATTGAAACAATCAGGCCAACCAACATCAGGAGCAGCAGATAACTCTTCTTTCTCAAACAATTCATCGCAATTTCTGACGACCTGACACACGTGCGAAAGTAGAAACATAAAATTTTTTCGTAGATCAAATGAACTTATTTTCATTAAAGTGGAAATAAAAATTTTTCAAGCTTACAAGTGTATCTGCATCAAGAAACACGCATTTCTCGTATTGAATTAATCTCCAGCAATGCAATTTCGTAAATGTAATACCCAATTCTGGTCTAGCTAAAAGTGCTAAATTAGCTTCATCTTTTGAATCAAGTACATTTACTTCCATCACTACAGAAAAAACTGCTGACAACTTTTCCCTAAATACAATTAAAAAGAAAATATTTCAATATTACAATTAAAAAAATGTTGATTGATATCATATATCATAAATAAAAATTACTAATCTGCGAATTAAAATAAAAAAAGAAAAAATTGTTAAACAAATATATCGAAATAGACAGAAATTCAGTTTGTATTAATAGAAATCACTCGGAAATAGCTTACCTCATCGTTTGCGTTACTCCAGGAGTAATCAAAACGGCCAGCTCGTGCTTGGTACCAACACGTCGTAAAGAGTGTGCCAAAACTAAGGCTCCCAAAGAATAAGCATCGTTGGTAGCTAATGTAACCCAGGCATATCCTTAAAATTAAAATAGAGAAATATTACAGACCAATTGTAATTAAAACAAGAAAAGAAAGTTGATGTTTCTTTATAATTTTATGGATGAATAATATTCGTGTATTAAAAATTTCTTGACAACTTTGAGATTCACCATATCATTATGCATTTAAATTGATAAAACATTTGTTATGTAAAATTAAATGGCTTGAGACGTTGAAACATTGATTCTTGACATTATCTTCAACATTAGGTATAGTATCAATAAACATTATAAGTAAAAATATATTCTTTTTCTAACTAAATATAGACAGCTTATTAATAATAATATCTTGAAGATTGTTATTGTCACTGAGTTTATTGTGTTTGTTTTCTTTTTAACGGTTAACATAAATACAAAGATAATTCTAACAATTGTTTAACGCAAAATGCTATCTACAATAATAAGTTGAACAAAACTACAATTAGTTTAATAATAAATTAACAAATATACTATACAAATAATTTCAGCACAAGTGTTGAGCAATTTTGAATTTGTTCCCGACTAATTTTTGTTTTTCGAAAAACACATCTTCAAATTCAAGAAGTTACAAGAACACGCTTTTCACACAGTCATAAACATTTTCTAAAATGATAAAAATAGAAGGAGATGCATGCGCTAGGAATCCAATTTGATCCAAGCAAGCGAAGTTAAATGCGTTTAACTTATTTTTCACCAATAAGAAATCCAACGATGCTGCTGTATTTATAACCCTTTCTATTTCTATTTCGTAAATGTCATCGTGCAGTTCTCCCCGGGGTAGTTCGATCTCGAGAAATTTAGCTCCAAAATAAAAATATTATTTTTAGCTATTTATCTGAACAACTACTCGTGCTTCGACGATGAATTCACTAGATAGAATATGATAAAAAGAAATAAAAAGTACATCAGAATATATATATATATATATATATATATATATATATATATATATATATATAAAAGTTATATATAAATGTATAAATATAAATATAAATATAAATATGTGTGTGTGTGTCGATAAAATATTTTACTATGTTTTCTCTTACGATAATTGCTTATCAGCTCTTCGAGTAGCCCACAAGTAGTGTTAAAAATAAGTATTTTACAACATATGAACAAATTCAACGAATTTACGAATAAATTTTAATTCAATAAATTATTTCAATTGTTTTGAGTTATAGTTACAGAGCAAAAGAATAATTAATACATTTTTTTTTTTT